TCAATAAATCAAAATAATTCGCTCATTTTCTGAAAGAATATTTTAAATTTTTTAAGGAATAAAGAATATTTTAAATTTTTTCTTTGGAAGCAACGTTTTTCTAAAATATTTCGAGTTTTTTCCCTAAAAAGATTTTAAAAATGGAAATTTGTGAGAAAAAAAGCTGAAAAAGTTATTTCGAATCATCGGCCAATAAAAAATATTAAAAATTAAGGAAAAACAATGCAAAAATAATATTTATAGATATATTTACAATAGTTTATATTTTTTATCTTATTCGATATAAATTCTCAGTCGAACAACCTTATAATATTCAATTAATCGAGAAATTACTTTGAGTCCTTTCACTGCTTTTTTTTAATATTTATAATATAATATTTATAATATTTATAATATTTTATAATGAGTTTTATCTGATTTCCCTTCATTTTTTCATTCTAAAGTGCTTACGATTTGCAAAATTTATGCGTGAAAAAATCCAATCAGTTATTTTTATCATTGCTATTATTATTTCTGTTATTATTAATCACAATCATTATCATCGTAATTGTTGTTTACCGTAATTAATTGTTGCAATTTATAATTGGTATTATCATTTATTATTAATATAAATGGAAACAACAACCTTGAGAAAATCTAACAAAATAATTTTCATTGTTTTGCTATAATTTAATAAAATTTTATCAAATAATTCCTACTTTACTACAATTTATCAGAAATTTCCTAAAATTGTTTTCTTTAATGAATTCTATTTGTAAAATTATTTATTTATTCAGCATTTGCATTTGTAACTTTTAAATTTTTCGCGTTTGAGTTTTATTCAAATCTTTTTTTCTTATTTTATTAATACAATGAAAAGAAAGAAATATTCTTTTTCAGTAATGTCATGTTGAAAATTTTAAAAATATTATATAAAGGAAATGCTTCATTTGGTCGTTTCCTCATTAAAATATTTCTTGTTTTGTTGCTTTAAATAAATAATTTATCCGAACAATTCATTCGCAATAACAATATTTCCCATTAATTAAATGATTTGCGAGCAATTCGAAAGATATTTTATATTTTATAAAAAAAAGTTTTTAAATTTTTAATTTTCAAAAATATTAAAAATGCGACTCATTTCGTGCATACACTTGTCACCTGAGTTTCTGCTAGATTGTCCCATCCTAGTTAGAACCACTGGAAATGCGACTCATTTCGTGCATGCACTTGTCACCTGAGTTTCTGCTAAGTTTTTCAATCACCGTTTCAACCAAATATAATTAAGCAACATTGAAAATGGACTTATGTGTCGACACATTGTCGAATGCAGGTGAGACACTCAGTCCATTGGCGAATAGCAAACATAAATATTGATTCGGCAAAATTGCTGCAAAAGCGAGGTGTGAAGGAATAGTGCTAAATTATTTGTGCCACGAAAAATGGATTATCTTTAGGGAGACCAAAAATATCATTGACTATCATCCAGTGAACAAGCACTGCATATCGTAATGCCCAAGTTCCATCAAGATAATTTTTACATGATGCTCTCAATTCTTCTTTTATTTTCTTCCGTTCTTGCCAGTATTAAAAATCATATTTGATGCTCGATGTAGATTGCAAACGCATAGCCCCAAAAACGATTCATTGCAAGAATATTATGGTTGTTCAGGATAAGGCTGTTCCGTTCACAGTTCGACTAGTGATCCAAAGCGGGCCCCATGGCACTGGCTCGGAAATTATACCTCATCGACATTATTCTATAGGGATTGAACCACTTATTATCTTTTTTAATCTTTTATTGACCATACTCGACCGAAAATATCAAAATAGAAAAGAATTAGAAGCAGAATTGAACTGAATGCTTTTTCTGAAGATCAAAATTATATTTTCAAATTATATCCCCTTAGGAAAAATTTATTAATCGTAACGGTGCTATTTTCTCGAGTAAACTATTTTTTGGCCAATATAAATTGTTCGATTTGCCAATGGTTTTATCTCTTCGTTTATTTATGATTTATTTTGATTCATTTTTAAATCAAATCAAGCAAACTTGGCAGAAATATTTTATTTGAATTTATTATTTTTATTAAATGTGTCTTTATTGCCTTATCATCTTCGTGATGAAGGACATTTGATAAGGATCTTTTTGTCATTTTTGTAGCGAAAGACAAAAAATATTTTTTAATAGGGATCTCGCAAAATGACAAAGTTCGTAAGTTCGTAAAAAATCAATTTAGCGATGCAATGGATCAATTAATACTGATAAAATAATCAATTGTTGTTGCGCCGGCAAGAAAATGGCCAGAATCAACGAAGATTTCAAAAGGTTGACAAGGCCAACAATAAAAAAATTAAGCCAGATCTACCAAAGAACCACTGATGTTGTTACAAACAACCTTTGGCAATTTACAAGAAATGAATAAAGGAATCGCAGGATAGAAGCCGTAGAAGACAAAAGAATGAAGATTTGTGCAAAGTAGCTTTTGAATTTCGCCATTTAACGACAAAAAATCCTTTTTTTCGTCATTTTGTCACTTTTGTGGCGAAGGATAAATTTTTTTTTTAAAGAGCGATTACTAGTTAAATTCGCCTCTCTGGCTTGTCACAGTAGGCAAATGCGCTAGGGAGTTCCATGGCGATAAGTGCGAATAAGTGGCCAGCATCATTTGTCTTTTTGGGCAGGTTACTCTCACCGGAAGTAAAGAACCTTAGCATCGGCGCACCGAATTGAACAATAATCCCATTGGGCCATTCTATTCTCCCTTGTTTTTCTTCGTTAGATGGCACTACTCAAGAGTGGTGTGTCCGCAGATTCAAACCCGAGTTTCAATTTTCTTACCTTGCTAATGAGCTGTCGACACACCAAAGATACAGCGAAGAATATATATTGGTATTTGACAGGCTTTTTTGTAGGAATCTTTTCTTCATTCTTCGACTTTTATTTTTTTAATCAATTTTTCTTTTCGCATTATTATGACAGATAATAAACAATAAACTTGACTTTTGGGAATGAGCAACCGAAAAATCCAGCCAATGAAGAATGACATAGAAATGAAGATTATTACGTGAGATTTAAAATTTAACATTGTATTTATTATATTTGCATTCTATTAGAAATTATGCTCTATGAGTAAGATTAAACCATTAATTTCGGTTCTCGGGAGTAAAGCTATCCGAAAATGCGAGAGCTACTGGCGACCTACCCTTACTTCTGTCCTCAGATGATTGAATAGTGGAGTGCCGAATCAAAAATGGTAATTGAATAAAGATAATTTTTAATAATAGTTTTTGCAATAATTTCTTTTCTTCATTTTAAGAGTATAAAGAACAAAAAAGTAGGGATGAGTTTGAGCTTATTTCGCCAAAATCCACCTCTGCCTATTCATTTAACTTTTAGGTTGAATCTACTCATCAAATTTATGTTTTAGTTCCGTTCTCTCTTTTTATTGAAACCATTATAATTCTTCAGATCTTAATATAAAAGATATGCAAATCTAATTTTTCTTTTTTTTAAGACTTTTCACCACCACTGGTTAAACTCGCTCTGCTGGCTTGTCGCATTGGACAAATATGCCAGAGAGTCCTTTGGTGACAGATGAGTCGCCCGGATTTTTGGACAGGTTATTCCTGCTGGGAGTGGAACCTTAGTATCGGCGGTCCGAATTAAACCCACTAAGCCATCCTATCTTCATGCAAATCTAATATTTATTAATAAAAAAATGTAATTTAGTAATTATTCCTTTAATGTTCGAAATATATTCCGTTAAATTAAATTTTTCTCATTATATTTTACAACTATTTTACTTTATTCATAAAATTTTTTAAAGGTAATTGATATGCGACAACAACTAAATATAAAATTAAATTAAATATATGGAATAAGTGATTCATTAGTTAATCCCAATTTCCATGATTTGATTCATTTATTTTAACTTAAATTTCGAATTTCATTACTTCTTTCACAAATTTTTAATAAAAAATAAAACTGAACCATTTCATTTATATTTTAATCTAAATCAACTTCCACTAATAATAAATGGCGAGAAAATAAGTTAATATTTGTCATACTTATCATTTTTTCCGCTACCACGTCAATTTTTCTACTTTATGCGATTATTTACTTCACCTCATATGGTTATCACTTCCTTTTCACCTGAATTTCTATTCCTGAATATCATTGTGGATAAAAAAAGGGCTAAAAAAGAATCATTATTTGAGAATTTAATTAAAAATCATTTCATTAAATTTTCGAGATGTGATCATTCAGATTAACCAGCATATTTATCTACTTTGCCTTCTTTCTTTAGTTTCTTTCCATATTCATTTTTTTATTTTTCATTTTTTGAGATGAAATATTATTATTATTATTACTTTTTTATCGTCATTATTATAATTACTATTATTACTGTTAATTACTTTTAAATTATTTGCCACTATTATTGTTATTATTAATAACAATATTTATTATAAATACTATAAATATTAGTATTTAGTTATAGGATTAATTTAATATTTAGAATACTTATTTATTTATATATTATTTTTTGGGCAACAATGTATTTACAAAAATTTTTCCGTATAAAATTTCATCATTTAAATTTCATCATTTCATCATTCTTTAAAAAGAATTTTTCGGCAAAATTTCTTCAAATTGTCAGTCGTTTTCTTTGATATTTTGTTATGTTTAATGTTTTATAAAAAATCTTTTTAGTTAAGCTTTTAATTAAAATTTTTTAATTAAAATGATGCGAACATTTATTGCTAATTCTTCTCAATTCTTTAATTTTTAATTCTTTTTTCTTATAAATTTTTTAAATTTATTGTAAAATTTCAGTTAATTTTTCCGATAACGAATTTCTATTAAATATTCATTATCATAACTTTTTTCTTAATATCGAAGAAAACATAATTTCTTAAAAATTTTTTTCAAATTTGAATTTCTCAAATGACAATAATTATTTTTTTTTTAATCACAATTCACCAGAAATCAACTTTGCAATGATAAAATAATTAAAGATATGCAATCACTTAAAAGATGGAAGAGATCAGATGCTTATGAGGTTTATTTTATTTTTTTTACTTACAATTTTTTATAAAAGATTATTAAATTATAATTTTTCATAAAAAAATTAGAAATTTTTCATTTCAGCAGTGTTCAACTGAACTAAATGATCGCCGTAATGATTTAAATGAATCGCTTGATCAAGGTTTCGATGAACAAATCTCATTAACAGCACCAGTCAGTCCATCGATATCAACATCGACGAGCGGGTAGGAGCGGGCAGACAAGCATTCTTTTTATTTATTTTAAATTTTTAAATAGATTTTTATTTTCACTTATGAAAATCTTCGTAAATATTTGTTTTTAATTAATTTTTATTAATTTTTTATCGAGTTTTTCCTGTTTTAAAGGGTAATTTATGATGGTTGGAAATATTCACAACGATTATTGTATAAATTAAAGCCACGACATTTAAATTTCAATTCAAGTGCATCGTCATCAACCGATTCAACATGGCGATCTATTGTATATTTTTTGTGGAGTTTTCTTAAGAATAAAATGGTTGATGGCCAGCGCTTACCATTTCTAGCTAGTCGCGGCTCTTGCATTGGTGCTATCAGTCCCATTCGTACAATACAATCAGAAATTTTTGCCCAGAATTTGGCAATAGAACGCTCGCCAGCATCTCGATGCAATGCCATCCATACTATCACTGTCCATCCTTAAAATGGAATGGAACTCCTTTTAAATTTTTTTACTTAATTTATTTCAAAATCTCTTAATTAACGATGATGATCAAATTAAGATTATTTCATTTTTGTTTAGGATAGCAGCACATGGAAATCAACGGATGGTATCGAAGTTCGCATTAAAGAGACTCGTATAAATTCACTTAGTGAAGTTGAACGGCAAGCACTGCAGACTCTATCCATACAAAGGCTTTCACAATTGATTCCAAATGTTCAGATTGGTAAATCCAAAGGTCTTTTAGATTTTTAATTTTTTGTGCGAATTTTATTCCCTATTTGCATAATTGTCAATTTTAAATCACAATTATAATTTGAAAAAACGAGTAATAATTGCCTAAAAGCAATAAATCTTCTTCAACAGCACTCATCACTTCTGGTTTGGCTAGTTCCATTGATATTTATTTATTTTTATTTATTTCAATATTAAATTCAGGAGGAACGCCATGTGCATATGCATATTTTATGCATATAATAAAGGAAATAATGAATAATTTGCACAAAAAAATTTAAATAAAATTATTAAAATGAAATAATTTGATTAATAACAAAAGCAAAGAATCAACAACCTTTGTACTTATATAGGTCTAGAGCAACATGTTAAGATTGCCACTAAGCATAATACTATTTTAGATAGTGTCGCTGACCTGAATAGTGTTAGCTATTTCTACTTCTTTTGTTGATAGCAGTAGAGTCTTGGAACCTTTTTGTAATAGTGATCACAATATCATTCATGCTTCATTAAAATTAGACCGTTATATACCTCCCTCGAGATAATCTAGAAATTACTGTGATTATGAAATCTTTAATTCTATACTCGCAGAAATAAACTAGGATTTCTTATTCTGTTTAGCTCCCTCTATTGGTGAAAAAATTCACTTTCTTGATAGCATCATTTTATACCTTGTAGAGCAATATATCCCTCTAAGACAAAAAAGCGTTAAGTCGATTCCCATTTTTTTAAAATCTCTTTAAAAAAATGTCGAGAAGCTTTATGACGAATACTAATTAACCAAATTGCCAAGTGACCTTTCTGCATATAAAGAATGTTTAAGAAGTTTCCGTGGTGTCGTTCATAATTACTTTTCAAATAAAGAGGAGCAAATTTTAAATATTAATAAGAATTCTTTCTGGACCTACATCAAAAGAAAATTTTCAAATCTGCATGAACAATTAATCTACAACATAATGATAATGTGATCACCTCTGATATTGATATTGCAAGTATATTTAATCAATATTCCAGTGTATTTGTTGATGAGGATAATACTCATACTTCTTGTTTTAAGGTGAAATAACACTACTGGATGTTTATGATGCCTTAAATAGACTTAAGTCGTCCATTTCAGCTGGTCGCGATAATTTTCCGCAAATAATTTATAAAAAATGTGTAGTTTCACTGAGTCTTCCACTATTTTTAATTTATAAGGATATGAAATCTGGCGTTATCCCAAAATTTGGAAGCTGTCTCATATAATTTTCATTCATAAAAAAGGAAGCACTTATGATCCTTCTAATTATAGAACTATTAGCCTAACATGCGTTGGTAGCAAGGTATTCGAAAGGTTGATTTGCAACAAATTGTTTACTTATCTTCATGCCAATAATTTTATATTATCCCCTTATCAGCATGGCTTTTGTACAAAAAAATCCACTTCACAAATATTGGCAAATTTTTCCGATTGGTCAGCGTCAATTGACAATGAAAAAACGGTATCAGTTGTGTGCCTAGATTTAGCTAAAGCTTTTGATACTGTTTCCTATAGCAAATTACTGATCACTCTTAATAATTATGGCATAACAGGGGCCCTTTATAACTAGGTGTCAGATTACATAAAAGATTGTCACCAAGCCATACGCGTCAATAACACTCTTTCGGACACAACACCTGTTAAATCTTGTTTTCCCCAAGGTAATTGTATTGCGCCATTGCTTTTTCTATTATATATAAATGATATCACCAATGTGGTACTAAATTCTGCTATTTATCTTTATGTTGGTAATTGTAAAATTTATTATTCTCATGGTAAAACAGATAGCCTATCTCCACTGCAGGAGGACCTCAACAGAATAACCAGCTGGCTATATAACAGGTAAATTGCCCTTTCCTTTCCAAAGTGTAGCGTTCGTCTTATCAGTTCTAAAGGTTTCAATTTTCCCAGTCTTATTATTAATGGCCTAATCTTATTATTAATATAATCAGTAGAGCCTAAAACATTTCGAATTTGGAATAATCATGGATGAAAATCTCAATTTTGACCACCGCAGAACCATGGTAAAGAAATCCTCAAAGATACTAAATTTTATTTTTCGTTTGTTTAAGAAGATTTCTTATCAAAAGTGAAGATTTCTTATCAAAATATGCAAACGTTCGTTCGGCGACGGAAAATTTGTGAGACAGTTTGTTCCAGTAGTTAATGCTGGAGTGATGAGATTATGAGCCACGACTTTTTTAAATTGTTTCCATCTTTAGCCAATTATCTCTATAATATTTGAATTTAAAGACAGGTTATAACAGTCTAAATTCACACGATGAAAGAATATCTTGTAAGTTTAAATCTGATTTGTCGGAAATCTCAAATAATATAATTTGGTTTATAATGAGCAGTATAATCTGATCCTCAACTATGCAGAAATTTTAATTAATTAATTAAACCTTAAGAAGAAACAGGCTATGCTGGGTTCTAAAAAGGTGCAAATATATATATATATATATATATATATAAGTGGGAAAAGGTGCCCACTCACTTTTGAAACCTCTGTGTAAAATTTTAAATAATTTTCCGACTGCGGAGAATAAAAATAAAAAAATTAAAAAATTAAAATTAAGTTATTGCCAGTGATTAAAAGCAAGATCTAACGAGTTATTAACGTAAGCAATTTTCATATTACAAATGTTTAGGATTAGGAACATCAAAAACACCATTAACACAAGTGATAAATAATAAAGGACCCTTCCTTTGCAGAGTGTCCAATAGAAGAGGTCCCTAATAAAGATTAATACGAGGAAATTCCCAGCAATAACCATGTTATATTTTCTGGCAATTTATTATTTTACTATGGCAATTTACTATGAAATACGACATGTTTAACTAAATCAAGGAAATCTGAACTTTATCAGCAGAGGTAAATAGTTAAATGGTCCACGCTCGATAAATCATGGTATATCACTGAGGTTTTAAAGGAATTCATAAATAGTAGATTTTTTCTACCAGAAACCATACTGTAAAACTGTAATTAAATTATTCACACCAAGAAAGATGTATTGTATTTTCTTGCATATGAGTCTCCTCCATATCTTGCCATGCTATTAAGATACGTGACATTAATAGAGCTGAGAGAGAGTTATAGGATTAGGATCCTTCTCCAGAAAATAACTTTGGGTTAGAAATAACTTGGGTTAGAAATGCGAGTGGGTCTTAACACCATCCGAATTTTGATTTTAATGATTTGCTGTCGTCAAGGAATAAGAATCAACCTTTTCCCTAATTTTGGCCTCTAAATTGATCAAAGCGATTACCTAAAATTTCCTAAAATTTATCTAAAATTTTATAAGAAAATCACGATTTAAACATACTGATACTTATGTTTCTCATTATTTCAATTAATTTATGCAAATTCAGATCCTTTTTCGACACTACGGCAAAAACGACAGAAATTTTTAAAAGCAAGAGGTGCAGCATTTAATACGAATGACAATCGACGCAATTTTAATTCTGCTACTGAAGGTACTCTATTTTCTTTATCAATGAGCAATTGTTTCAACTATTAACATTTTTTTTACAATCAGATGAACGCAAAATTTTCGGGGTATCATTAAGCGTTACCGTTGAAAGCGATCGCCGGCTGAAGGCAGAGGAACGGTGTCGCTCATTAGACGATGCAGATGCTCGCTTGTTTGCTTTATCAGGTCGTCACAGGTTCGTCTCAAGTTTTTATAATTATTTCTTCTTTTAATTATCTATTTGCTTTTTTTGATAGATTTGATTATATTTGTAGATTTATCTTCACATATACTTTTCATAACCATTTCCATTCACTTACTACACTATTAGGTAAATTTTCAGATGATTTAATATTTTTGAATTATTTTAACAAATAACTTGTTAGAATTAAGTTTTTCATCAAAAGCTCTTCAGATCAATTTCAGAATTAAAGATAAGTCGAAGCCAGCGAAGTCTGAGCCTGAAATATTAACAGCAATCAATGAAAAAGCAACTTACTTCGGTAGTTCAACGGTTCGTTTAATAATATTTCTCCATAATTTGGATACTGGATAGTTGTGATTTTGATAATGATTTTTGATATAATGATTTTTCCTCGATTTTGCTTCATTTTATCTTATTTTAGGCAGATTTGAAATGTTCATTAAATGATCCATCAATTTTGTGCAAAAATGCTGAATTATCCATTCACCAAACAACTTCTGTTAGTTTTTTTGAAAAATTTTGAAAAAAAATTAAAAAATATGAATGTTATTAAACAATGGTCCTTCAAAAAATATTTGCAGCAAATTCATTATGCAAAAAAGTTTCAACGGTCACCGAATTGTGCGCAAACTCGCGATAAAATTCATAATAATTTCAATATTTTCAATCCTCAAACGAAAAATGTGCCAAGGATTGTGACTGTTTGCACCGAATTTTTACGCAGACATGGTTTATTTTTCTTTTCAGTTTTTATTATTCAGGCAAATCGAAGATTTCTGCTTATTTCCTCTTTTCTTGCTATTCTATTTTAACACTTTCGGTTGACTGAACTGAATATTAGAACATTTATCATATAGTAACTAAGAGACATTCGAAGATAGAAGTTCGTCACTGAGGTATCACTGAGATTTTGGTTTTATGGTATTTCCGAAATCGAACCTATGCTCTTAATTGGAATTGTTTGCAATTTTTTATTGAATTTAAAGGATTGGATGTTGTTGGTATTTTTCGCATTGCTGGTTCGGCTCGACGTTGCAAACATTTGCGTAAAATTCTCGAAGGTTCAAGCACTCCAAATTTACCGCTTTTAGAAGGTTCAACACCACATGATGTAGCAACACTTTTGAAAGAATATTTTCGAGATTTACCTGAACCATTGTTACCGAATGATTATTATCAAGCATTCATTGCAGCTTCAAGTTAGCAAAAATTCATTTTTTATTATTATTTGTTATTAGTTGTAATTGTTATTCGAGTTTAATCGCTAAGAAATTATTTTAACAGTTTTGTTGCGAAACTGGTGAATAGGTAAATAAATAGGCTTTTTAATAATAAAATAACAATAATATGATTATATTAAAAAGCGAGAAAAATAATGTGATGAATAATAATAAATAATAATAATATTACTAATAATAATGAAAATAAGCTGTGAATGTGAGGAAGATGGGTAATAGGATAAAACTCTGAAGAATACTCGTTTTTCGGGAGATTTATAGGGAAGAAAAGAAAGGAAACAGAAGAAAACTTATAAAGAAATTTAGAGAAATTCGAAGGTCAAAAAAGGTCATAATGTAAAAAAATTTTATTCATGATCCATATTCATATTTTAGCATTTCATTAGTGATTATTAAACTATATACTATAAATTATATAAATTTTTAAAATTTTTCGAATTCCAAAAAATATAAAAATTCGATGAAATAAAACTAAATAATTATTCACTGGATGAATTATTTAAGAATTTAAATAAAGTAGAAAATTAAAGAACTTGATGGCAGCGAACGAATCGAGTGTATTCGGTTATTAATCGGTTTATTACCTGTAACGAACATTGATACGCTGTATGTGCTTCTACAATTTTTAAATGACGTTTCCAAATATAGCGAAGATCATTTCGATTCGAGGGGGAACTTGGTTTGTTTGTTTTTTATTGACGAAATAATGAACTGCTGATGAACAGTATGGTCGAGTAATGTATCGCTTAGTTAATTCATAAATCTTTTCAAGCCTCTCGGTTCGCGTCCTCGTCGCAGAAAACTAGCGATACTCATCTGTCTGCAAAAATGACTCTCTTGCAAAGTGTTTTGTCAGCGGATAAAAGCGGATAAAGTGGATCCACCTAACTATGGCGACTGTTAACCAACTAACTATCAAATAAAAAATATTCTTTAGAAAATTTTTATTTTAAGTTATCCAATTAAAAATTTGGCTTAGAGATACGATGTTTTGCTCAAATATCGCAGTTTTTCAAATTTCTTGGATAATTTAAAGATATTTCGCGGCAATAAAATGGATACTCGTAATTTGGCAACAATTTTCGCTCCATCAATATTGCGTCCCGATCATTATAAATTGCACGTGTCGCTTGCAGATAATAATGCGCAAATTGCAATTGTTGAGACTATGATCGATTTTTTCGATAGCATTTTTTGGGTAAATTTTTTGGTATATTTTATCTAACATCTAATATAGTATCTTATCTAAAATTCATTAAATTTTCGCTATCCACTGAAAAAATAGATGGCAATCATGTCTCATCTCTAGTTATTTATAATATTTTCAACGACATGCACTTTAGGTATCAAGGGAACTTCGTAGTCAAATTTTATCAAAATTGCGGGAAACCGATCCGGAAAAACTCGACAAACTTTTGTATCAGTTATCAACGTTAAACCAGTAAGTTTTAAAATTATTCCTGAGAATGGGCTATTTTCTTTATTGAATTTTCTTACGAATTAATGAATTTTCTTGTATAATGTTAGTAATTAGTAATTAATTTTCAAAACTATTTAGGAGCATTTTGAAAAACCATTCACCACCAAACCGAACAACCTCAGTTAGAAATCTTATTCTTTTTAATGAATCGCTAAGGCCATCAAGTGCCGTGGATTTGTTTAGTATTCAGCGAAAAGTGCAACCTGACGATGAAGGTGACGATTTTGGCTTTTTTGAAAAAATATTTTTTTCTATCTAACAAGTGATCATGTTAACAAAAATATTCATTATTATTCATATATTTATTATTTTAATAGCATTAATTCGTTATCAAACATGGCCTATTTTAACCAATCAAGCATTCAAATTTCCGGATAAATTAGTTGATTCGTTTCAAACGCATCAGGAAAGAGATATTCGTCTTTACAAATACTACAAAAAAAGTGTAAAACTGGGAAGTTTGCAAGGTTAATATTATAATTTATGAATACATATATTAACTATATGCATTAACTAAATATTTATTTCTTCAAAAATAATTTCTTTCGCACTAATGTCATGTATTTTAATTTTCTATGCAGATAAATCACCAACAAATCTTGAAACTATGGAAAAAAATTCGGCCGACATTGTTCGAAATTTGCCAGATGCACCATCCATAAGCTCGCGGAATCGAACATGGGGAGCACGAAACCGTTTACAAAGCGTTGTACGAGTTTTTTCAGCCGTTAAATTGCGATCAAGGAAAGGTGAAGATTAGGTGAAAGGTTAAATTAATAATTTTTAAAATTTTGTCTTGAATTGACCACATTAAGTTGGATCTTTCTGGATTTTTCTTCAACAAAATTAATTTGATATATTTCATTTAAATTTTGCTAATTTGTCATAACAAAATATAAATTTATATTTAACATGTGCCAAAAAGATTAGTAAAATTAATTTTCTGTTTTGCATATCTGAACTCAGTGCCTTAAATTTTGCAAATTGTCGCTCTATTAAATGTACAGTACATATCATTTGGTCATACTTTTGCAAATCTTACTTCTACTTTTAATTCGAAACTTTCAATTTTGTCAGTTGGTAATTTTAAAATAATTTATGTATATATGAATTATAATTCATAGTTAACTTATGTTGATTTCTGTTTGATTTTAAGAAATTTTGAGCAAAAATTTTAAAATTTGAAATTCAAAATAAAAGGCAAAGTAATTCTTTGAATACTTTTTTTTGCGTTCTCATTATCGATGCATAAAAATCAAGCAGAAATTGCGTGAAGCATGGTGATTATTTATTGGGAAGTTGGCGTCCTTTTTTCTTTCGCTCTTTTTGTTCCATTTATATTTTTATTATTAATAGTTATATCAATATCTGATGTAAATAATTATTAAAAACTTTTTATTTTTTATAATACGACTTCGTTTTATCACTTCTCAATGCGATAAGTCGATTAGCAGCGATGTTGATTATATTTTCTAGTAATTTTCAAAAAATAAATTTTGTGTTTATGTTTATCTGCCAGTTGATTTTGTATTTTTGTGCAGTTATTTTTCCGAACTCTGTGCGATCTTCGTCGATCTCGTTTCGTGTATTTTCACGATCTCCTTTTTCTCTTGTTAAATGGTAAATTATTTGGAATTTCAGCAACTAAAATTTGAAATTGTTTATTAAAATTTTAGAATCATTTGAATTCAATAAAGCACCTAAATTGCATTTTTTATTGGAGATGGAACATGCCATTATGATGCCATTTCGTGAATGGTTCTCAATTCAACCTTAGCTTTTGAATTTATGATCAAAAAATTTATTATGGTCCGATAATAAATTTTTATTTTGAATCACTCAGCCTAATTCAACTGTAGTTTATTGGCGGAATGGTTGAAATTCAGTGCCCTTTCAGGTTGATGGATTGTGGATTCGAATTTTCTGGCTATCCAACTTTCTTTTTCTCGTGTATAAGCATTTCGTTTAATTATTATTATCATTGCAATAAATTATTAGTATAACTATTATTATTACATTATCACTATCATCATCATTATACCATTGCCGTAAATTATAGTTATTATCAACAAAAAAAATAATCAAATAAATGATTAGCTTCCACTATTTCTGGTTAGACTTGTTCCACCGGCTGTTATTAGGATTATTTGCCAAAGAATTTTGATGATAGAAATACAGGTGAATCGAAAGCACCACCCGAATTTTCTAAAATAATTGTAAAATATCATTATTGCTAATATTATGTTTTAATAATTATCATTATTATTGTTATTACCATTATCATTATTATTATTTATTATTACTATTATTATTATTACTATTATTATTATCTTTACTATTATTATCACCATCATTATTATCATCGTCACATTTATTATCCAATGTAAACAAATTATTATTATTATTATTAAAAAATTCTATTAAGGTTGTCATTATCGAAAATCACTGTTATTGTTAATATGAATTTTGTTACGAACATTATTATTTTTGCTATTATTAAATATCATCAAAGAACTTTAATATTATTTTCATTATCGTTATTTTTATTACTATTAACTCACCGTCTAGTAATATGAAAATAAAAAATATATCTTTGGCGTTGACCTTCTGAAAGAAGAATCGTGACCAAACTATTCAAACATAGCTGGTTTGGAAAAATCTTTTCTGGTCAGAACCTTTCATTTTCTCGTGATTAAAAATTCTACTAATCTTTTTTAATAGCTAAAAACTGAGAAATTTCTCAAGAATGAGTTGAATTTATTGAGTTCATGCTACTGGTAATTAAATATACAATATTTTGAAACCACAACTTAAGCCGTGTTAAAAAATAATAAGGAAAACCACAGCACTAGCACTGAAATAAACCAGCGTTTGTTGAAATACAAATCGAAGTTACCAAAAAATTTTTTTCGATTATTTTCCAGTCAACTTGAAACGAATTATGATTTGTCTCGCATAAAACAGTTCCATAATTAAGAATTCTATGTTATAACTCGGCTAATGGATTTGAAAATTTACGATATTATGGAATCATAGAAAATCTCCTTTCTTATTAACCAAGTGAAAGGTAAAATGGTAAAAGTGTTGAATAATAATCGACCATTCTAATTCTTTATATATGCATTAATTTTAAAAATTACTAAATTTTATCACTGCTGGTTAAGCTAGCTTCTCTGGTTGTCGGACCAGGCAAGTTTTTCCAGGAAATCACTTGGCGATAAAAGTACAGATGAACCGACATCACCGTTTCTTTAGTAAGCAGTTAAATTAGCATTTGAGGTTATAATAAATCAAACAAAATATTTTGTATTTTTTTGCTGTAACTGACCTAATTTTTTGAAAAAATATGGCCAAGCGGAAATACAAAAAAGAATTTTCTTAAAGCAGGAGTGTCCAAATCCACCAAATGATTTCGAGCTGAATTTCGAGCACAGATTCTCTTCCAAGTGGCGCTGGAAATTATGACCAGCGCTATCTAATCAAAGTCAGCAGCACAAGAATCGTGCAATACAATCATATTAAAGCAGAGGATTTTTGGTAGTAATTCATTCAAAGAAATTACCAGCAATATTTTCTCAACACAGTGATAAGAAAATTGATAAACTTATAATTTCCAAATTGGCTACAATAAGAAGTTATGCAGAATACTCGTGAAGAAATCGATGAGGAAATTTTTAATTTAAATTGAAAAAAAATTTAATCGTATTAACGAAAATTGAAAAATTCCGGATAGATTGATGAAATGAACGATTATCGCTCACAGACCATGCCTGGTACTTTGAATTTTTTGCTCAAGGACTCATTTAGCTAGCAGTAGAAATGTGGATGTTGCCAAGTATTATTAACCTCGATTTTTTGATGCCAGCCTCATTTCTTGTGGACGGAGAATCCATATTTTTGTCTCCGACACGATAATCGGAACCACTACTTATTGCCCACTATTGCTTTGTTCTATGTGAGATTCATTCATTAAAAATGGTGAAAATGGTAAAAAAATGTTTTTACAAAAATTTGAAAAAACATACATTTAACTTGGTTTTCGTTGCGAAATAAATTGAATGATAAAATGAATGAAAAATTTTTCATAAAATTTCTATTGTTTATATTTATTATTCTACTCGTTTTTTATTCAAATCGACCCTCTTCGATGAATTCTCATGAAGCAATTTCGGCTAAAAGTGTTATGAATCATTAATGTTTCAAAGTTATGAAGGTTGTACTCATCGATAGGTTTCGAACTATACAACTACCATCTGTCTATCAGAAAGGATTGCAAATGCAATAAGAAGCGTTGATTATCTGGATTTTATAAATAATTGTTTGCAATTGAACATTCATAATATCCTGAAGCATTTGTTAAATATACTTAATACTTATGGATTTCCACTTATTTGAAGGAAATTATCATTCATTTCTGCGTGGCCATATAAAAACAATGGATTTATCCATCAGTATAAAGTAAAAAATTTCTTTCCGTTCTGCTATTACATATTATTTATAGTTTATGACATTGAATATTTATATATCTCCAAAAGAAATCCATCGTCTTTTAATAGGGTCTTACGTTTCCCTTGCGGGTAAAATTTTATAGATAAAATTTTATTATAATAAAGTAAACTTTATTTTGCTTTATAATAATGAAATAAAGCAGCGGACAATTCTGTTAATATCTCAGAATTCTGTAATATGGTGGAAAATGACTAGAAGTAGGTAGATGGGATATGGGGTGAGACCTCTTATTGAATACTTTCTTCGTTCTGCAGAGATATTTTTTTTAAACGAATATTTTGAAGGCTTTGAAGTTTTACTAAAAATCAACAATATAAAGAACTAGTTAATGATTGATAAATTAGAACTAAGGCGAAAAAAATTGCTTTTCCAATTTATCACAGTTGGTAATAAAGAAGATCGAAAAGACTTCAGCTAAAAACAGTTAAAATAAGCTTTGGTAAAATATAAGTTGAAAATAAAATTTTTGCTCCTTTATCTTTTCCTATGGCTTTATTTGTTTATTATTCTTTTTTGCCTGAATTGCCTGAATTTATTTGTTGAGAATTTTTCTGTGAACTTTGTTTCTGCTGGCTTCGCTCGCTATTATCACGTTTTCAAACTTCCATGCCAAGCCCGTAGCATAGGTCGTCCACATGTCGCCACCTTTCCTATATACTCGAAACTCTTCTTATCTGTATCTATCCAGGTCTTGAGTAGGTCTCCATGTTTTTATTGTTTTTATTGTAATCCATTACAAGGCTTAGCATGTGGAGAGATATGTGCAAACTCCTGTATAAATATCGAAGAACATGGCCAAACCAGCGTATACGACGTTCTATAATGATGTACTGAATAGGATGGCTCAAGAAAAGGTGGATGCTTTCATGCGAGATATTGCCTGCGTGAAGGGTATATAGATTATATCGAAAGGAGATATGGCCAAGAGCCAAACTCATAGTCATAAAAAAGAGTACAAGCGCAAGACAGATGTGAACTTTCGCTTAATTCCACAGCAATTCCAGAGAAATTTCATCAAAAACATTTCTGCACCAATTCGGGCTGAAATTTTATTCTTCTCAATTGAAAATTCTCAGAAAAAAATTCATTTTCATCGTTTATCTTGATTTCATTATCAAATCAATTTTAATTAATTTTCAAAAGCTAAATTTAAATGATTTATTGCCAAATATTGCTATTGTTAAAGGCTCACTGGCAAGACAAGGCAATTGCTTCCGAGAGTGAGGTTTGGGCTCAAATCCGCCGACGCAT